TTTAAATTGTAAAGTTTTGGAGCAAAACGACCCTCAAACCACCCTTGGTGGCAAGGGAAAGTTCCCCACAAAATTAAAGGTGTGCTACACAAATGCTCGCAGCGTGCCAAACAAAATGGCGGAGCTCAAGGCAATGGTGGATATAGAAAACCCATATGTTTATACAGTTCCAGAAACATGGTTACCGTCAGAATTGTTTTATAGTGAAATTCAGTTGACTGGTTTTATATTCAGTAAGGTTGATGGATTAAACCGTAGGGGAGTCGAGGTTATCATGTACACGAACAGCATCTTAACCATAAGAGCAGTTGAGACAGAGACACATGGTTCAGGGACATTTGAACTGGTGCGTTTCAGGCTGAAATGTAGACGGCAAGATATTGAATGGGTTGTAGTATATAGCAGTCTAGAATGTGTAATAGATGACTTCCTCCTGAGTAGACTTGAGTTCTGGTGTAATCGGGGTGGAAGCATTATAGTAGGCAACTTTAATGCACCGTATATAAACTGGGTAAACTTAAAAGTAAGGTCATTGATAACGTCATTCGATCGCAAATTCTAAGAAACCTCAACTGCACCAGCTTTATTCCAACACATTCGAAATCCCATCAGATATGACTCATAAAGCTCCTCGTCTTTCTCGGATTTAGTCTTCACACACAATGATGACGTCCGTCAAATTACTTTCCCTCTACCTCTAGGGAGAAGCGATCATGCAGTCTTATTAATCAAACTCATGGCTGAGATGGCCTGTCAAACTATTGCGCCGGCCCGTCCCAACATATGGAAGGCGGACAGGGTTTCAACCAACTCTGCAGCATCGGCTGAAAACTGGGAAGTTGACTCAAGAACATCAGTACAAGAGGCATGGACTCATCTCAGACAGTTATACAATCGAACGATTCAACCACATATAACCTGGACAGTGCCAAAAAAAGAGAACCACGGCCAACCCTGGATAGGCTGAGATATTCGACGTTTACTAAGATAAAAGGAGAAACTTTGGAATGTTTCCGTCAGCCTTGGCACAGCAGGTACGATGGAGCGCTATAGGTTGGTAAGAAAAGAGGGTATAATTAAAATCCGGGGATCTCAGAGAAAATTTGAAATGTGGCTGGCACAATTTTCACTCAAGCAGCCTTAGAGAATATTCTCGTACATAAATTACAGAACAAGGATACATCACTGGATTCTTAACCTAATTAAAGAAGGGAGTGAATCTGAAACGATAGAGGAAAATCATGGAAAAACGGATGCTATGGCTAAATATTTCGGGGCATTTTTAATTCAGGAACCTCTTTTAGACCGAAATACAAAGTCAACAAACTCCCTGCTTACCGTGAACTTTGATCAGGACGATGAACTTAAGACCCTTAGCACCTTAGACATAGAAAATTCAACAGGTCGGGATGAACTACACCTCAAAATCCTGAGACATACTGCACAATATATCGCAGCCCCACTGACACTGCTATTCAATGTCACTTGACCAAGGCGTGTTAACTATCAGCTGGAAGCATGCAATCGCCACTCACATACATAAAACAAGACCAAGACAACTTCCATCGAAATACAGACCTACCAACCTCACCAGTATTGTAGTTAAAATATTGGTAAGAATAGTCGAAAGGACCATAATGAAATTTTCAGAAAGAGTTTATCTCGCACAAGAAACCTAATAGCAAGGGAGCATTGGATAAAGACTCTAGGCAGTGGAAACTCAGTGAATGCTGTCTACATAGACTTCAGTAAGGCATTCGGCAAGTTGCTGACAAATCCTTGCAAACAGATATTTGATCCCGTCTTGTTGGGAATATTTTTATTGATTCTCAGTTATCGAACCCTTTAGTATTACCGTTTCTTTTATTGTTTAGCGCTCTGCATTGCGTTTGAGAAACTTGTGACTGTACAGCACAGGCTGTACCGTTTGAGGTATTTTGTATTTTTGATATAATTTTTCTATTTCCTGAATTATAACCGTTTACATTGAGCACACAATTTGTGTTTTGATATAATTTAATACGAGTGTCTCAGAAACGCTTGTTAAGCTATACAGAAGAACGTAGTCTGGCCTATTCGAATACATTTTGGTTCGTCAGTCCTGCGTTCAAACCAAATTCTGGCAGTTCGGTCCTTACGAATACAGCATAGAGGAAGTGCCATTATGTGGTGTTTGAATGGACTAATGATATCTTGGTACTTGTTGAATGATCGATTTCGAATTCTAAATACAATACATTCGTTTGTGCTTGTGTCTTCTTAATTGAATTGCGTTAATCCTGGAATTCCTAGTTCATACGATAATTCGAATACCATATTGGCGTCGCCATGGAGCCTGTGATGGAAAAGTTAGATATTCATTCAACTTCGGAAACTTTTGAAGATTACTTTGAAAGGTTCGAAATCTGGGCTATGACCAAGGAAGATAATGAGGATGTTAATATTGTGGCACACTTCCTCACATTCATTGGAAAAGAAACATACAGCTTATTAAGAACTTTGTCTATGCCGGAAAAGCCCATTTCGCTTTCTTATACAGCTCTCAAGAAACTGCTGCTAGACTTTGTTCAGTATACAAATTTCGAATGCGGTAAAGGAGGGAGATCTCGTAAAATGATTCATGAGGATATAAAAAATTCCACTACATTACGTCATCCCAACCCAGTTCATACTCAAGATTATGCAGACAATTCATTGAGGAGTTTGCAATGCATTTCACGAAGATGGGCACAAGTTTAGTCAGTGTTTGTCCTGTGGCAAGTTCCACTCTTTTAATTCATGTAAATTTCGTTATTCTAAGTGCTTTAAATGTGGTGATATTAGACATATTCAGTTAGTCTGTAATACTAATGTTCATCTTATTGCAACTAATATTAAGACTTGTAATTCTGATTCTACTGAGTCGAGTATTTATAATGATGATTTATCTTTATCAACGATTGCAATAGACAATGTAGAGTCACAAAGTAGTTCAGAGTTAAATGAAACTCAGAATTCTTGCGAAACAACAGTTTCTAACCAATCGATTTATCAGATTTCTTATGTTATCGTACCAAATATGGCTTTTCCTAATGATTCATATATTTCTGATGAAATTTCTCACAAATCTGAAGAAAACATGTTTAGTGAGCATAATTATGATGGAAAACCTGATGTGGTTTTGATGGATGCTGATTTTCCTAACGATCCTTTGCTCTGGAATGACATTCTTAATGAATTCGAGGAAACTATTCCAGAAGAGTCAAGTCTTGATGTCATACCAAATATTATTTGTCCCCATAATTCATTTGTTTCTTGTGGGAAGCTTGTTCAATGCGAAGCACGAGTATTAATTGAGCTCCATTCTGATTACAATTCGGATGTTTTCACATCAACTGCTGTTTACCCTTATCACAAAAACAGTTCTAATGTTTAGTCTAAACAATGTGAGAAATATGTTTTAAATGAAGCCACATTATTCATAACTTGGGGATATAAAGATCCAACATTATTTCGTGGGGGAGGTACAAAACCAACATGCTGATTGTATACAATTCCAGGCGAGTCTGTTCCGATTTCGTTTGTTAATTCCAATACTAATGAGCACTTTCTAGATACTACAAAGTTTCTATCCAATACAATGTCGAACAGACTCAGGATGAACTTAACAAGAAGACGTAAAACCGATTACAAACACTTATACTTCTATTTAAGCTGTGGCGGATGTGATGTTTGAATGGACTAATGATATCTTGGTACTTGTTGAATGCTCGGTTTCGAATTCTAAATACAATACATTCGTTTGTGCCTGTGTCTTCTAAAATTGAATTGCGTTAATTCCTAGTTCATACGATAATTCGAATACCATACATTACCCGTAGTCTGGTCTCATAAGGATCTTGGGGTGACAGTGAGTCATTATTTAGGACCATGGCGCATCTACTAGAGGTCGAAGCTAAGGAGATTAGAGCCCTCTAAGCTTTCAGATGGACATTCACTGAGTTAGATACTACCAAGTTCACTACAGTATGCACAAGCCTAGTGAGAACTAAACTTGAGAGCTTCGTTCAGGCTGCAACCTCCTGTTTAAAAGGTGACTCGGATATCCTGGAAAAAGTACAGAGGGCTGATAACTGCGCAATTTCCTAAGTCCAGGGTTTACGATACAAAAAGTGGCTTCAAAAGCTAGATCTTGAAGATGCCACAGGTATTCAGAGTTTGACAACGCTTTAACTAGTAACACCTAATTTGAAGCGTACCCACCAAGTAAAATCAAAAAAACAGAAGTGAGGAGGTTCGAAGATATATTTGATAGGCTATCAATATATCAAGGATTGTCCGATCTAATTGGGCTAGCGATTGCAGGGGTTGTTGAGCACGGCGTTCCCACTCGTGATCTGTTGCGGATACATGACCGAGCGCCCTCAGCTAGATGGTTAGCATATAATGTCGAAAACCTACAGAGCTATTTAGTTTGGGGACTTAGTTACTGCTACAACCTCTTTATTCTGTCCTATCGCAGATTAAAAGGTGATCTAGTTTTGATGAATAGAATAATAAGAAATGATTTTGAACGTAATATATCCTCCCTTTTTCTTCCCGCTAGATCGAGACATCTTGGAGGACATAGCAGGCGAGTGGAAAAGCCAAGAACGAACAAAATACCCGTAGCATACAAGTTTTCACACCGAGTCATCAATTCTTGGAACCTGTTAACGAAGCAGGGGTGTCCGCACATTCAGTTGATTCATTCAAGAGAAGACTGGACACTCATAGAAGCATACTAGAAAAATAAATAACACACTCTGTAGGCCTTCTGTATTTAATACACAAACCAGGATATGAATTTGAAAAATAGCAAGAGTATAAGCATCACATAATTTATTGCGAAGCGCTCTGAACCAACAATAAATCCACTTAAAAAAGGTGATCGAAACTTGATCATTTCAGAGACTCTTAAAAGATAAGCAATACACAAAAAATCAGAAAGAGCTTCCTGAACACGTAATTTGTTTTAAATATTCACCATAGTTGTACCAAAATACACATCTGTTCAAATATAAAGTTTTTATCGTGTGCGGTCAGTGCTGTCCAACTTATCAGGTAAGTGTCACGCGAAATACTGCTAACGATTTCACAGTATAAGTAATGTCCCATCTTTTTCATGTTCACAGCACACAAAACTCAAGCATCATAATGAATCATTCTTATTACCTAAGGTTACCATAATATATTTCATTGTTGGTCTGGTAGGAATTATGCCGATAACTCGACCCAAAGTACAGAGATTTTAGGAGCTAAATATTCTCAATGATGGTCAATACACAATGTTCGTAATAAAATTCAATCTCCAAAACCTAAAGACAAAATATCTTCACTTTCGAAAAAAACACTTATTATACCTAATGCTTGTTTTTGCCTCACAAAACCAGAGTAACTGCATAACAGAATGTGTTTTAACCAATTACATCCTTACTCACGATTATGATGCAGTTGCATTGCACTGATAGCGCTGATAATAACTCCGCACTAAACTTTATAATATAGGGATGATTGTTTCGACATCTTGATGACTGTAGAAAGTTTTAGGACTCGCCATCATGCACATAATTGTGTTCGCTGATTGTTTTTGTGTCATGGTTAAATAACTCAACCCTCTGGAATACACATTTAAACCCGATTATTCTTTCTTCAGCTTTGATAATAAGATAGTGTCAGAGACAGAATTTGTGCACAGAAACAAAGTACCTGAAATTGTATGTGGCTGTTGAGTTAAATATCCAGGTACAAGAAAACGTCTTAGGTGTGAGATTTTACAACGAACATCGTCATTAACAAGAGCGTTTGTAATCGGTTACTGATTAAGAGTTAATTATAATCAACACTAAATTTTGGGAATACAGCAGTTTACCAAAGTTCCGAGGATAAATAGTCACCCTAAATTTTTAAAATTCATCATTTATGATCTTAGGTACTTTGATCCAAATGAGTTTGTTGCAAACTTTAGATACTTGAATATCTAATATTACTTTGACAAACCTAAATTCTGAATAACTAAAGGGCGATTCCTTTTACTTCTCTTTGTCGGTGATTATAAAGCAAACTGTTTGAGGTTTTACTGAGGCTTCGTTAATTTTATCAGAATGATTTCCTTCCATCGTTCTAAAGTGAAGTGTGGTAGCTTAAGCTTATGAATATGTGTTATTTTTAACCCATTACGATTAGTAGCAGGAGGAAAGAACCGAGAATAAAATGTAGTAACGATGACTTTAAAAATGCGATGTTTCAAGATTGTTACGACCGCAATCACTCTGGTGTACCTTTTTCTGGAAGTAATTTATGTTTCTTACTTTGAGATTGACACGATATATAAACGCTCTGGTAGTGTAAACGAGTGTACATGCCTGAAAATAGCTTCTTGAAGGGTTTTTTAGTCATACTGTATGGATGTCCGGGATTCACTTGCGAATTTTTTATGTGCATAGTAATGCTTTGAAACCTCTTTTTGAACTCACCGCTCCGTACTGACAAGCTTAAGGTGTAGGTATCTGTTAATTGTTCGTGTCACTTGGGTATTTGCAGTAAATTCAGTGAAATAAAGAATGTCTACCTTCATTATAAACACCTCAATAACGGTTTGAATTCCCTAGTGTAGTAGCCTAAAATACGACAACCATCTTTTTGTACCGCTTCTTTGTTCTCTTTTCGCCACAATGCCTTTTTCTCTGATGCGAATGTACGCCTAAATAGATAAGACCGACGTGGTCGTTACCTAATTTCGTTATCACTTTTCTTGTTTGATACCAGATATTATGGCTAATATCCTCCCTCCAGCTGATCCACGAGTTGAAAACTGGCCACTAATGAAAGATCCAACACCTGTGTTTGTTACTGTTCTACTGTATCTAACTTTTGTTCTCTGGTTGGGTCCAAAAATTATGAAAAAGCACCAAACACCGTTTAACCTACGGCCACTTATGATCGTTTACAACATTTCTCTAGTTCTGCTTTCGAGTTGGCTAGTGTACGAATTTGCTGTTTCAGGATGGTTTACAGGATATTCGCTTGGTTGTCAATCTATTGATCATTCAAGAAGACCGATTGCTATGCGTATGGCTAGTACTTGCTGGGTTTTTTTCATTTCCAAAATAATTGAATTATTTGACACCGTATTGTTTATCCTCCGAAAGAAATTTGAGTTAGTTAGCTTTCTTCATGTTTTTCATCATGCAATCATGCCTATTTCCTGGTGGTACGGTGTGAAGTATGTCCCAGGTGAGCATTATTCAGTTTCTTAGCTTCCATTATAATTATTCACATAATGTAGTTCTTACGTAATTTATATGGTGTTATTTGAAGTTGATCTGTTGTTTGATCCACCTTAAGTTTGACTTAGAGGCATTCAATTTTTAATGACTGATATCAGATAACTTAACAGTGTTTATTATGTTCCTAAAAATACATTCTGGTTACATAATGCCTACATAACATTGACCACTAAACTACCATGCATTCCCTAAAATTAATTCCTCAATCAATCACTATATAACAAGAAAATGTTTTATTTTTCTTTCAGGTGGTTTAGGAACTTTTCATGCATTTTTAAATTGTATCGTCCACGCCTTTATGTATACTTACTATGGTTTGGCTGCAGCTGGACCTCGTTTTCAAAAGTATATATGGTGGAAAAAGTAGGTTTTCGATATATAATGAGGAATATATTGTCTACAACATTTCTAATATTCAATATTATTACCTTACTTATCAGAAATTTTACTTCAGCTTGTATCTTTCAAAGACGTGAACTGTTACTTTACAATAATGCTGAATACCTAGGTTTCGGATCAATGATCCATATTCAATTTCCCATACATTTCTTAAACAATTTAATCGATTACCCAATCAGAACTTCTTGACAATCATTAAGTGTCTAATATCGTTTCAGTCTTCAATGGCTCACATTCAATTTATCTTTAATTATTTTAGCCTCCGGTCACCTTACACTAAAGCGTAATGGAGTTTACCGTGGTACATATGCGGAGATTCATTGCTTTTGAATTACTCAATATAAAATTTTTTCGAGTTCTTGATTAAAACGTCACTGATTTTACGTATTATCTCAGTGGCAGTAGACTCATTGTTACTATCACTTAAGGTCTATAACAATCAATGTTCATTGTCTGACCCACATGTACCATGCATCATGCGTTTGCCAACAAAACATACAGACGCTGATGTATTCAATGTCTACAGAAATAGAGATCGTAATGAAAAACTTTAAATGTTAGACGCATTACCTCAAGATTAGGGAAATAAGTATTGTCTGCCATGACTGATTCGTTGGACCATCTACATTTTACAATTTGAATAAGAATATTTTCTGATATTTTTATATGTAATGTAGTGGCAATGGTTAATTAATTCCTGACTTTATATTTTTGTACTTTATACAGATACTTAACTGCAGCCCAAATAACCCAATTCATCATTGTTATTTTTCACTCAACATATGCATTGAGTATAACCGATTGTAATTACCCAAAATTTTTCAGTTACTGGATTTTGGCATCAGCATTGATTTTTCTTTTTTTATTTTCCAAATTTTATTACAAAGTAAGTATAGATAGAATGAGTTCTCTGAACTAGATGATTTATTTGTGGAGCTTTCATTGTTTTGTTCATGACATCGTCAGAGCTTAGTTCATTGAGAAGTGATCTTTTTCAGTTATTCCACTAGCCTTATACCAGTATGCCCTGATGGTCTTGTTTGTCATTGACCTTCATGCCAGATTTTCTTGTCATTGTTTGTCCTTGTACCCAAGTTGACTATATTGTGTCGTCAACCTTTGACTATTTATTCACTTATTCATGTGCACCATGGAACCCTGCACAAATATACATCAATTCAAGCTGCCATACAATATTATCAAAACGAGGTTGTATTATCAAGCGTAGTAGAAGTAGTAATAGTGTTTGTGGTAGTAAGAAAGACCAGCTATTAAAGTGTAAAAACGTCTGTAGGGATTTTGAGATCCAGGATCTAAAAGAAGATAAAGAAGAAATGCATCTGTGCCACTGCAAATGATTCTGAATCTTGTCACCCAAAGTCCCCAACCACTAATCGCGGTTGTCATGAGGATACCAATTAGATAGCCTTATTTACCTATATGGCTAATTTGAATTGTCAATGATTTTCGTTTTGTTCTGAATACCCTACCTCTCTTCAAGTCTAGACGGACTTTCTTAATATACGTCCTAACTACTTCTCAATGAAGGTATACTACCTCTAATTGATTTGTCCTCTTTATAAAGTACTTTGTATATAACCTCACTATTACTTACTCGATGGTCTTGACATAGACGATCAATACCTCGAAGAAATCTGTGATTGAGTGTTATTAATCTACGAAAATTCTTCTTTCCTAATAGTTTTATTTCTTATCCATAAAGTAGAACTAAACGAACTGCTGCCGATATAAGTCGTCCTTTGGTTTGTAGATAGATATCCTGTCTACATCACAAGTAATTTAATTTGCCAAACCTAAAACAGGTTTCAGTACTTATATCAAAATTTTTTCAGACGCTAACACACAAAGTTCGATGAGACTTCCAAGATAAATAAAGTGATCAACAAGCTCAACTACTTTACTTTCTCTGTCCCTCTCGTTAGCTTAAGCATTGACACAGACCAATCTTTAAATAATATTTCTCATCAGGAGTGCATCACAAGTATGCTTGCACTGTTACTTAGGGTTATCAGAAGAATGAATTATGTCAGTGTCTTCAAACAGGATTGTACCATCTGTTCATTCTAAATCAATGAATGAGTTTCCTGTTAGAAGGCCAACCCTTTGAAAGTCAGCTGGTCGGAGTATTATTTGCAAAAGAGTCTCTGTGGTGAAGTTAAACAAAAATTAGAAAATTGAACAACCTTGACGAATACCAAATAAGGTTGATAATTCAACTTACGGTTACCCATAAGCTCTAACGTGACCAGTAGTGTTCGAGTAGAGAGCCTAAACAAGGTTGATGTACGTCTATGATATGTCTTTTACTGGTAGGCATTGCCAGATAACCTCACAACAAACACAATTGACTGCTGTCTCAAGGCCAAAAAGTAAGATTACTTTGGAACTTCACAAAATATATCTATGTTCCCTAACATGACTAAGGGTGAATATTTGGTCTGTTCTTCCACACCCATGTATGATGCCGGGAAGCCTTTCTAGAATTCGTCCTTCACGACCTCTAGATAAGGTTCGAATTAATATTGTAGACAATATTTAGATAATATATCAATCAAATAATTTCGTTTGTGATTTTTATGAGAGTAGATTTCTCCTTTCTTATAAACTGGAACGACCAGTCGTCAAAACCAGTTAGATTGGATTACGTGTAATTCCTAGATTCTAGCTCATCCAAGTCAGTCTAGCTAATTAATTGATTGATAATCTCCCGAATGGGTTGATAAATCGGATCTAATTGGATATGCTCATTAGTTATTGATTTGTTCAGAAATTTCACAGCATTCTTTGAACTCTTCCATTACAAAATGCTGGCGTTCTCACAATCGAATTAATGTCCTTATTTGTTTACGTATATTGATAACAACTACAATATTTCATGTTGTTTATGTCCGTATATACACGTTGTCCAAAATGATCGTTATCCGAATGAATACAATTTATTTTGTAGATTGTGTACTAATTGTCTTCTTCAGTTATTGTGTCTTTTGGTCTATATAAAATAGAATAGAGTAATTAATTCAGTTTATGAGCTAAATCGATTCTATATGGTTTTGAAATCGTCATGATCTCTGATATTTCTGAAACTTGTGTAATAACTAAGAAGTTCTCGTCTCTGTGTATTAGACGCTGATGATAGTTAGAATACTCACCAATACGAAAAGTTGACACTCAATCTGCAAATAATCATTGTTCAGATGTTAAACATTCTACATCTTAAGTCTGTGTTGTACTGGTCTAAAATTTTTATCCGATATATCCTAGATTTAAACGTCTCTCTACTCTTATGTGATTTAATTAACTGACTTCAGTCATTAGTACCAATACCTAAAAAATAGTATGACTTAAATCGGAGTATCTGAACCTGATCTAATTAGACTAGTTATACTAGTTTCACATGTTTTATATCTAACACAATCCATTGTAATCGATTTAACTCAAAATTATATTATTAGATAGCGGGATTGTGAAAAGTTGAACTTATTCTTATAATTTCACCGTTCGACTTTAGTTAGACAGACATTATAAACTAGGGAGTAGTGGATAAGCGATCTCATAATGGTTTGTAACTTCTCATTAGTCCTCATTCAGTAACTCACCGTGGGAATCAAACCCAAAACCTTCAAATCTCACAACGAGCTCTTTACCTTCAAACCACTTAACTAACATCTAATAGTTTAGTATTCATACTTAATTCAATTCATATGATTATTTATTCAACTTCCAATGGTATTGATAAATAACTGATACTGACACTTGACTCCACTACTAAGTATGATCAAAATCAACACAGTGTTCATAATGTAAATTATTAAAATGCAATAATGTGTTAACAAATTTATTTTATTCGTAACAATATTTACTTCTCTCTCTCTCTCTCTCTCTCTCTCTCTCTCTCTCTCTCTAACTCAGGCCTACGAGAAACCAGTTCATGCATTAAATGGATCAATAGTTGATAATAAATACCATAATAAAGCTCATTAAATTATTTTGTTAGAGTTTGTTTTGTTTTTTTCTCTTAAATCTAATAGAAATCAGTAGTAATGATGACAGTCATTATAGTTGCATAGGTCGGAATCTATTGAATACATATATGTATATCCACAAGGGTCTTTCTCTTTTTCTTACATCAGTTCATTCTTTATGGTTGTTCATCGTGATAAACATAATAATTCTTTATGATATTTTCTCAATGATATTACGTTAGTATCTTTTACGGTTTTCTGTTTTGATGTAGAATTTCATTTTGTAAAAGATACATCATTCAATTTTATAATTTGATATAAGCACACACACACACACAAACCTGCACATTCATACAAATGATTATACATGTATCTATGTACATTTTTGTTACAAATACATTGTTCTTATTGTATATTAATAATGTTCTCTTTTTATGGTTAAATATTATCAATTTAATATCAGATGGGTTTTGTGGAGATTGTAGTAATTTCAATGGTTAAAATCATGAATCAGTTGAAGCTAGACCACCATGGAAAACCTGGAAGCATTGGACGGCCGTTTTTATTCCTATTGTGAGACTCCTCAGCAGTGCGCATCCATGATCTCGCCCCCTGCGACACTCGAACCCAGGACCTGAGTGGTTTGGTGTTTAAGTGCTCGCGCGCAAAATCAGCAGGTCCTGGGTTCGAATCTCGCGGAGGGCGAGGTCATGGATGTGCACTACTGAGGAGTCCTACAATAGGAATAAAAATGGCCGTTCAGTGCTTCCAGGTTTTCCATGGTGGTCTAGCTTCAACTGATTCATGATCTTAACCATTGAAATTATCATCAGTTTAATTGATAATTTATTTTATTGTATCAAATAAAGATTTATAACGGATGAAATAATAGTGTTACGTAATAATTGTCTTATTGTAATCATTGCCATGTATAATGTGTTTGTTTTGTTTTCATTATTTCTTTGATAGATGAGATAAGATTGAACATTGATAAAAATTTAATGGTATTATCTATTAAATCTGAAGTTTGAATTCTATTCTACTTGAACTCGAATTTAGATAATGAAGTTTTATCCTACTGTATCTTACATGTACACTTACAAGTGGTTCGATTGGATAAATACTTGATTTAACAAATCAGTTAGATGATCATATAAACTATGTTCATTTGAATTAATTAATAATATGAAATAATAATCAGGTCGTTATAGATAATAATATTGATTTGGTGGAAATATCTGTTTGCTAAAAGTAAACTCCACTTGTAGCTCTTCTAAGGTTATTACTGGTCCCGAGCCCAGGTGAGGGAGAAAGATTGAGTATGGCGTCAGCAACTCCATCACGTAGAAAATAAGTTGACTTAAAAAAGAAAACATTAAATAAGAGAAAATTGAACCATTTAGACTCTTCCCTCCGAGTTCAAGGAAAAATTATGGTGGCTCATAGTGAAAGTCGAAATTCTTCGGAAGTCATGAGGCTGATGCCCCTTCTAACAACAAGAGAAATAATTAATATAGACATATAGAATATTTGGACAATGTGGAACACTGGCAGGACCAACCAAACAGATTCGGAAATGAGGAGATACAACTTGACGGTTCTCAAAAGAAGTGACAGAAAAAATTAAATTCAACAGAGATAATGTTATACTCTGGTCACGAAGAAGAAAGTGTTCTTCAGACTCAGGTAGATGCTCTGATGCTGTACAGAGAAGCACGTCAAGCACCTGTAAGATGGAAATCTAATGGGTCCAGAATCATCAAAGCATCCTTCAAAACAAAAAGGTTATCACAATGAATGTTATCCAGTGCCATTCACCCACCAATAATAACAAGGAAGACGATAATGATCAGTTCTACGCGACCATCCTCTAGTATATTCTGTGAGTAACTGCGTCACAACTGAAACGGTTGATATCCACCAGTCACAGCTTCTCAGTGGTCTAGGGCTTAAGCTTTTGTGAGCGGGACCTAAGGTACTGGGTTCGAGTCTTGTTTGCGAGTTCGTGGGTCCTATACTAGGACGAGACGATCATTCAGTGCTTCTAGATTTGCATTGGTAGTCTAACATTGATTGGTTTATGATATCAATAAAACCTCAACAATCTCCACAACCCTATACAGATCAGTTTTGTGTTTAGACTCTTTAAAAACAAACAGAAATTTTCATCAACGGAACAGTGCCTTAGAGTAATAAGCTGATATCCCGAACCTTTCTTATACCTACATCAATATAAACACTTTGTCAGTAATAAAAGCCGTAATGGAAATAATATGACGAAATCGATAACACAAATGTTTTCCATGATTGTTTTAATCATTTATACGATCCAATAGTGCTTACGTTTAGATGACAGTTTTAAATTCAAACAAGCGACTAAGGTTTGGACTAAAATCTACTTTAAAGTAAATACGCATATTGTGTAACCACACTTTCAAACTATAGTTGGTTTACACTTTAAAATGGAAGGATAGATATTTTTCTTATAAGTTATCTTCTATGCATTCATTTGGTATTGTTTACTTGAATTTTCCTGTTGATGTTTAAAACTGCAATTGATCAATCTCTTATTGACAAATGTGGATCCAGTGAGTATTGCTTCGATATTACCTTAGTTCACAAGCATTATAAGCAAAGATGAATAATGACTAGCAGTGGAATCTAGGACGCACGTTTCGCCCTAAGTAGATAATGCTATGGGGTTTGAAGCGAACGGTAGTAGGTTCGAGTCCCAGAGATGCAGGTAAATCCAGCTGACAAGTCCCAATTAGGAGGAAACGCGCGTCCTGGATTCCACTGCTAGGCTTTATTCATCTTTGCTTATCTTCTATGAAGTTGTAATTGGCTATTTTTTAAAAAAAACCTTGCTGTCAATATTTGGGTCATGAATGGTTGTCCATATGTATGGTGTAGTTTTATGACGAACATTACTAAACAATACACATTGGGTAATGAAACAATTCTCTCAGTTTGTATATATATTTTTAAGAAACAAAGTACTTTACATTCAGTTTAACAAATGTATTTCCTACATACATTTTCGTAAGCTGAATAATAATAATTGAAAAATAAGTTAAGCTCCAAGGTATCTGAAAAGAGTTGTCTTAATCTACTCTAAATCGTACATATGGTATATGCTACTTATGTCGATAGTAGAAAGTTGAGAAGATCAAATTAAAGAGAGTAATTGTAATGATAACAGGAATGAAGGAGCGATGAAAGTCAATATAACCATATACCCAAGCTTTATAGTGAGTAAATTATTATTTTTAGCAACATTAATCAACTTCGATTGAATGTTCACAGTTCTTATCCTATATCTTCAACCCTTGACAAGATATACAATGATGGAAAATCTTGAATACGACTGAAATATGTGTCTATTATTTCTCTTGATTATTTTAATGAAGATCGTGGATGTGTACTGTTGAGGAGTACCATAGTAGGACGAAACAGCCGTCCAGTGCATCCAGATTTTTTCATGATGGTCTAGCTTCAATTGACTCAATATGAACTACTAAAATTACAATAAAATCCACAAAACCCCTTTTGATTCTAAATTAATTAAATAAATTAATATTCGATATACAATACTTCATTTCTATGTAATAATCACGTCAAATTCAGCGAATTCTATTATTATATTAAGGTTATTTACAGCTCAGCATAGATTATGCTTGAAATACACTAGAAATCATACATAGTAATGATTGAGAATCTAATTATTACTTTAGGACACTAAAGTGTATCTTCTTGATTTGGGTCAGATAATTCGTATAAACTGGTTGGATCAAATTTTAATATTTCATCTTTTAAACTTTATTATCAGAATTTGTTTTGTGGAGATTTTTAGAAATTTTCACAGATTGAACTCATGAGTCAGTTGAAGCTAGACCACCATTGAGAACCTGGAAGCACTGGACGGCCGTCTCGTCCTAGTATGGGACTCCTCAGCAGTGCGCATCCACGACCCCGCACCACCCGGGGTGCGAACCCAGGACCTATTGGCTTCGCGCGCGAGCACTTAACCATTAGACCACTGAGCTGGCCGGGATCCAACGGTGTTAATGTCTAACTTCAACCAATCCACGAAGTTGCGCTACCGTACACCATTGTCTTCAGTGAGTTCCTATCTCACAACAGACCTGGTTGAACTCCACTGGTAACGACTTCTCACTAGAACTCCAGGTTTTCAATGGTGGTCTAGCTTCAACTGACTCATGAGTTCAATCTGTGAAAATTTTTAAACTTTAGTCAATTCATAATTTAGTTGAAGAGATTATGTGGACTTGTTGGTTTTATTCGTTATAGGTTGAGCTTAGTTGAGGTACCTTTAAAAATAAAGAAACAATAAACAGATAATTCGTCTTACAATTAAGTTCCTTAATCGTTGCTCATTCATGAAGAATTCTGCAATAATCAACTCAATAATGACTTACTTCAAGATGTTCGTAATGTTTTGATGAGAATTATTGACCTGTGAAATTCAAATGTATCCGTTATCACCAATGGGATTAAGTTATCGTCGAGCTATACGGCAAATTGATTATAGTTGAAATGATAAAATCTCAATGATTGGCCTGCCTTCTTTGTACTTGGCCGGTCTCTTTGGTTTATTATATTTTCGTGCTAGTTTCTTCACTGTATTAAATGATTGTCTGATATTTTCTTCTCCTGCAGCTTTTCTGCTAATGTTGCTAGTTCTTCCACGTATTTCTGATTGTCGGCTCTGATGCTATTCTTCACTTGCTCGTTTGCTTATGTGTATTCAGCTTGTGCCTTATATTTCTCTGCTCCTGTTCGACTATTGTTAATTGCCGTCTGCTTGTTCTTCCTTTTCTTGGATCTTGTCTAGGGTTCCCATAAAGATCCATTCCTTATGATGATGCTACAAGCGGCCCAGCACCTCCTGACATGTTGAAATTAGTGCTTGTTTGATTCCTTTCTAGTTGTCTTCTACTGTAGTTTCTTTCAGTAGATCCTGTAAGGCTTGGAACCTTTTGTCAAAAGTTATCTTGAATCGGTTGAGTTTATCAAAACGTTGAAGAAAGGCTGTATTGATACTGATTAATGTTGTTTGTCCAGTTGTTTAATGCTTCTTTAGCTTCGGTTTCATCTTAGCAACCACCAGGTGATGATTTAGAACTATGTCATCTCTCCTGGTTCTCGCGTCTCCCACTGACCTTCTAAATTTGTTCGCGGTTCAGGAACGATCAATCTGGTTCTCTGCAGTGTGGTCAGGAGAAAGCCGTATAGCTTTGTGTACGTTTTCAGGGTGCAATATTGTGCCATCCATGACCATTTTGTTGAAGTGACATAAATTCGTAAATCTTTCACCAGTCTCGTTTCTTTATACCACTTCGTGTCGTCCTATGATATCTTCGTTTGGACCTTAGCGTTCTCGTCTCACATCACACACTTCTACACGATCAATTGCAAGCTCTCGTAAAACTGATCTTTATCGTCGACGTCGCTATCAATGGTGTGTGCATAGCACTAGATAACATTCGTTGTGATAAACTTCTTTTAGTTTTAAAGGATGCTTTGATAATTCTGGATCCAAAAGGTTCCCATCTCACAGGTGTTTGATGTGTTTCATTCGACAGTATCAAAGCATCTACCTGAGTCTGATGAATATTTTGTTCTTCGCGACCAGAGTACAGCAGCATCTTTCCGAAATTTAATCTTTTCCTTCCAGCTTATGACCGGTGGGTTTCATTTATTCCGAGCACTGTCAAGTCGTATCTCCTCATTTCCGAAGCTGTTTGGTTGATCTTGCCAGTCTCCAA